AAGTGATAATATGGAATAAATCCACGTTGGTATACACGCCTGCAATGTTATTTTAAAGAAAGTCCTCCGATATGGACGATCTATTTGGGCTTCGCAATAGCCCCTTCGGACTACCCGCCGTTATATACCTACTTATAATATGACGAATTATTCGTATTAGTCTAGGATTCTAGTTTTCTCGAAAAGTCAAAAGTAAGAAGAGCACTGTCTAAACACTACATTACTATCTAATACTATTACCATCTAAAATGGTTTATATTTCACGTCTGAAACCTTTTTGCACAAATATTTATCTTACAGATTGATTAAGGTAAAATCCATCCATGTCATCAAAAATTTTTGCTACACGTTTTATTTCTAATCTAAAGTAAAGAGCCCAGTCATGTCAATGTTGATCTTCTCTTATTCAAATACGTACAGAATAATTTATAATGAAACAGTTGGAAAGTACTTTTGGAATTTAATCAGGGTTGCTACTTTGTTTTGGAGTTGTTTGGCGAGTTCAAAGATTACTTCTGGGAATAACCTAGACGAATGGTTTGGACTGGATTGATGTAATCACAAAAAATATTTATTTAATTGGAACAACAGATTTGTTATTGGTAAAAATTGTAAAAAAAAATATCAGTTATGTATGACATTGCTGCCGCATCCTGCTGTGAAGGACGAAATTCGCATGTAGCCGCAAAGGTACCTGTACCGTACCACCTCAAGGAGATGCGGTGCGAGTGTATAACCCTGGTGTTTTGTATTTAAATCAAGATTCTGCAGACAAAGTTAAAAATTGCAGCAACACACAGTGGAGGGGTGACTTATACTCATTCACACTGTAGAGTAGACTATGTGATTTATATTTGGAAATCCAAAAGGAATGTGAAAATTTGCGTATGAATTGTACGCTGCACTGCCAAATATTTATGATACGTCTTTTTTTTGTGGGTTGTTATTGTTCTAGTAGATACTGACTTATTATATTATTAATTACATATTATAATTTAAATTATATTTTTTACTATTAATTATTATTTTATTGATTTATTAATTAAAATGATGTGTTATTTAATTAAATATATATTAATATTTTGATATTCGTGCGTACCTTATCACCTTAGGGTTTCAGCTGAAAATCAGCATTAGGTACTCTTGTGTCTAACCTCAGACCAAATAAAAAATATAGACGGAATTTTGCCTAACTGAAAAGTGAAGCCTACAAAACTACGCCTCGGCGTATTCGTACACAGTTTCACGCACACATACATAACGAAACTACGCCTTCCTTATCAGTCTAACTATAGACAGTGTGCGGAACGTTTCATTATAAAAAAAATCAAAAATTTCTTACTAACTGCCGAATTGTGTAGTAAAAGGTTGTAAAAACTAATCCTCAAAAAATAAAAAGCAGGATGGAATCACATTTCACTCATAGGTATTGGAGAAAACTTTGATTTTCAGTAATTTAAAAACAAAATTTCAGTAATTGCTTGGAACACAAAACCTCAGCCAAATATTACCATCGTTAAACGTTATTATTTACCCCGAAATCAGGTAACTTTAATTTTATAACGTGTTATTTCTAACAAAACACAAATTACGTTATGTATTTTTTCTTGTTGTATGGAAATAAGATTTAATAAATTTTGCATTCCAAATGCTACATAGGTACAGATATTGAAGTGTTAGAATAAGGAAGTAAAAAATAAAAAAACGAGTTTAATTATTTACTTCTTTAATTTTACTAAACGGGTTTGCATACATTTTTTCATTTCCAAACCGACATCAAAATGTGAAAGAGAAGTGGATTTTAGTCATTCGTAATAGTCGAAATGAACCTTCATGACATCCAACTTCGCGCAGCGTAGTTTGTTTGACTCATTTTAAGAGCGATGATATGTATTATACTATAAAAGGGTTATGTCGAATAAAGCAAAACTCATATTCAAAGGTTTCAAACTTTCTATATATTAAAATTTTAGTTAATATGGTGGAAGTTTTCAAACTTAACTTAAAAATTAATTAAATAGTCTCTCTAATGTATGGCCTCCAATAATAATTACCTACTCTTAAAGATTTTAGAATATCTATGCTGATATTGACAAACGAATTTACATTATATTATTAAATAGCATAGCGTTAACGTTAACTCTATAAAGTCGTAACGTTAAGTTATTGGGGTGTTTTTAATGACTATGGTCACACTGGCACGCACACTAGAATTGCTAAAAATCGGCTTCACTTTGTTGTTCAGCAAACTCCGTCTTTACTTTTTATTTGGTCTGAGTGTCTAACATTATGCTGAGCTGATAGCCCATTTGGCACCTAGCCTGTTATAAAACTTGTATTTTTTTTAATTTGCATTTTGTTTCATTTTGTTATTATTATCATCATTTTTTATCTTTCTTTTTAATTTATCAATAAAAGATTATTCTATTCTATTCTATTATACAGTGTAATATCACTTTAGAAAAAGCTTCCAATGTCTTTCTTCTTGGCACATCGTTTGTAACACTAAAGTATTTTGTGTTTTTAACATTAAAGTATTCTAATCTCCTTTGCTATATAATAATACTCTGACATTTATTGTCCCGACATATAATACAAGAGGTCGTAATAAAAATGTACAAGGGTTTTGTTACGGTTGATAGTTCAGTATACACATCACCCAGTACCTAGAGCAGAGGTCAGGTGCTGGAATACCTGGCTGCAGCGATGTGAATCATACCTATCGCGATTGCTGAATGTATTTATTCTACTAAACAAAGGTTTGGGTGTTTCTCACTTAACTTATTTGTAATAATTTAGAAAGACTTGATTATTTAGGTCCAATTTAATCGAAATCCACAAGAATGTAAAAGGTTATAAAGATAAATTATGTGCAATAAAGTTAAATCAAATAAGATACTTAACTATTGTGTTGATAATTATTTATCTGATAAAGCAAATTTTTCGTCCTTACTTGAAGACAACATAAAGCGTCTTTTATATAAACCAAACAACAAAAATGTTCATAGTAACCAACAAATAAAAGTTACTCAAAGGTGGTCCATTAAACAGCAAATGTACACAAAAAATCTTTCTGAAAGAACTGCTGACGTTGTAAACGCCCAAAATTCCAGTTGGCACTCGTAATGAGCGTGAGTCTGGAACGAGGGATCGACAGGTTAAAGAGAACTTCTAAGCTGTGCACACAAGTGCCGCAAATCCCGTAGAGTTTCTTAGATAAATTTTGATTTAGTGTATTCATTGCGATACGAACCATTGGTAGACTTAATTCTGCCGAGTGATGATGGTTTTTAAACATTTTATTTTGATGCGTTCATAAATTTCACACCATTCAATAATCAGATCTATTTATTTCTTATTATTTTCTTCTTGTTGATCAATTAACCTTAACCCTTCAATAATATAATAACAGCAGCACACCAGTTTCAGCGAGACTTAAACTGAGATTGTTTTGGTATATCTCACCCGTTTTTCGAAAGTCTCGAGTTAGTCATGCTACTTGTGCATGTACAAAAACATTGAAAGCAAAATACACAACGGCATTGATTTTGAAAGTTCAACTTTAGAACCTAAGAAAAGAAAAGAATTAGGTAGAGGAAGAGAGCAGAAACAGAGAAAAAGAAAGTTGATAATAATGAACAAATATTTAAAAACAAGTTAACATATATTTTTTCAATACCAAGATAAATAGATATAAAATTACGTAAGATGGAAAACGGACACAATGAAAGTACTGTAGCCAATTAAGACCCGGTATCATTTACAGAAGTTAGTTATCTATAATTACCCGGTTGGCAATCCAATCAAGACCAAACTATCAAACTGGCATGAAAACAATCAAATCTATACAAATAATCTAGTTCCTAATTAAGTTTTTGATTGTTCTTTCAATGTACAACAACGCAATTAGAAGGCAATCATCCTTTTCCATATTCCCCAGCTTGCCATTGTATTGTATATTATAATGAATCAAGCCTTTTCATAAACTAATTTATTCCAAGTGGAGTTATATTAATTATATTTCTATTGATAGCAAATTTAAGTAGACTGGTATCATAAAAATTATTTGACATAATATCTCTAAAAGTGTTGGGCAGTCAAAACCTACTAAAAAGAAATGTGTAGTTCTTCTGCTATATTTGTACCTACCATAAATTTTCCTTGTAGCAATTCTAAATGCAACACACCATGATGTAATCAAAACATTGCTTTTATAGAGAATTGAAATTAGAAATATGTCTCAATATGACGCATGCGTACTGCAATGGTTGCGGCGCCACAGAGTCGCGTCAAGTCATCTCGCATCAATAAAGAAGCCACACACCAATCAAATACAGTCACTGAGATCTTTCCTTTATTTTATTGCTGCGCCATTAATGACTATACGACCCACTATAAGTACATATTACACCGAAAAACCTTTGATGCACTCAACGATGGCAGATTAATAACTGATTCTGATGGATAATAAAAAGACTTGTTATGTACATTTTTTGTTTTATAAATAAATAATCAATTGATATCTGAGAACTAAAACAGATGTAATATGATTAATAGTTTCGTAAATACAGTGCTAAGTTTGTGGAACTACTGCTAGTTGTTCGAAAACGTTCCCTATAAGTTCAAGCAACGGCTGTTTGTCCGTTTGTTTGTCTGTCTGTCTGTCTATCCACCTGTCACCAGGCTGTGTCTCATGAATCGTGATAGGTGGACGGTTGAAATTTTCACAGATTATACATTTCTGTTGCCGTTATGACAACATAAACTGAATAATTAAATATTTAAGGGGGCTCCCGTACAACAAACTTGCACGTGGGTTTTTTTATGTATGATACTTATCTGTAAATCATCTTTGTACCTTTTTATTGTATTAATTAAAACAAAAATACAATTAAAAAGATTAGAAACAGCAAAGACTCTTTGCTATGTACCTACGAGTATTTTATGCAGTAAAATGAGTATGAATAATAACATTACGTTTGATAATTGTCATTACTTACCTTTTTTACACTCCTCTAAAGTCTCATCCGTGTTGTCTCCGCAATCGTCCTCACCCTCGCACACCCAGGAGAGGGCTATACACTTTCCATTTCCACACTGGAACTGTTTCGAGGAGCAAATATCTGAAAAGGATAAAAGAATGTTATTAATGTTACACAATTTCACATGTACAAACAGCAAAAAATCTCGCAAAATCACCACTCTATACGTGTTTCGCCCCACCGTGGAGCATCCTCAGGAGTTGCGAGATTTGTTGCCGTTTGTACATATGAATTTAATTGCGGGCTATACACACCAGGTATTGCGGATACTCACTGGGTGTGTAAGTTGCTAGATATTATAATTTCACTGCTTTATATTATGAATCTTATTAGTTTTATAAGTAGTAAATTCATCTTCATGGTAAATATATCAATAGATTATGATCTCCATCTTTCAGGTCCAGTACCACTCTAAACCAAGAGTATACCACTCTGAACCAAGAGTATACCTTCTTAAAATTTAATAATGAAAAGTAAACACCTCTTTTCATTAAAGGATTATCGTCGGCTATATCATATTATGTTTAAATTAAACAAACACTTCACTATGTACGGTCGAATAGACAAACTAAAACATAATATTGTGTTTATAAATTTATTCGCAATTACGCTAAGCATTCTAGAACAAAGAACATTTAAATATTACTAGACTACGAGGAATATTTGAATAAATTCACTGCGTAAAACTCGAATTATGTTATATTTTAATCTGGTAAAACAAAAGTATTTTGTTTATTTGTTAGTACAAGGCATTTCTTGAAATATTCATGAAACTGAAAATAGCCCAGTAAACATCAATTGCATCGATTTGAAGAAAGCAAAAGTGTCCCGTGAGAAACATCTTAAAAACGATAAAAATGTATAATTCAATGTTGAAAAGGCCAAAACTTACTCTTGTTAACTAATTTACTTAACAAGAGTAAGTTTTTGTTGCAGTAAACATGAGGCTACTGCAACAAAAAATTCAGTCAAACTAATACAAACAAAAGTCCAAAAAGCTCTTATTGACGATTGATTACAATTTACATATTAATGCGAAAAATGATTTTGAAACTAAGAATTTCATTTTTAAATCTGTTAATAAATTCAAATTTTTTATAATCGGAATGAAATAAAACCCAAATTACACGAAATCACAAAAAAAACTCCATGGCAATATTCAATGCTAAAATCCCTTTATTTTCTATAACAATTGTACGTCCGAAGAAAGGATTCAAATTCCTAAGAGCACATTTGAAAGATAAACATACAATGGAAGGAAATAGCCTATCAAAACTTGGCATATAACTCAAGCTGGTTATATTACAGAAGAACGCGATAGAAAATACATTACCATGATCCTAAACAGTCTTTATATGTCTATTATGTAATGGACAAAAGTCAAAACGAGCAATGGTATTGCTGAGTCTATCGTAGTCGTGCCTGATTTATGTGCCAATATTTTCGGTGACCTAATCCAGGGGACGAATGCGGATGTTATTATTGCCATGTGATTTATTATTCACTCGAATAGTGCGGTAACAATATATACATCTGGACCATTATTCTAGTACACCAAGATAAAATTTAAAAACATGTTCAATGAATTTAATGGTTTTCTATATAATGTACTAACTGTTTTCCGGAGTCTTCGTCCATGTAATTTATAGCGTCACCCGCGTATGACGTAGCTTCCGGTAGATGAATCAATTATTAAGATCGGATTAATATTTCGGATAATTAACAAGATTAAATAAATAATAAAATAAATATAAGACAACATCACATACATTGCTTATATTCCAAGATGAGTAGCTAAAGCCCCCGTATAATTAAGTATCTGAGACAACGAAGGTACCACAATACCCAGACGCGAGACAATATAGAAAAGATCTTTATACATTGACATGACCGAGGAATCGAACCCGGGATGCTCAAAGATGGCAACACCTTGATACCAGCATGCGAACCACTTGGCTGCGAAGGTTTGGAGTATGGAGCAGTGGCAGTGAAAGTAATCTACAACTTTCACAGAGGCAGTCATTGGATGGGTGACCAAAGATATTATAGGTGATATTACATCGATCTTCTTCGTGTTTTAGACGCCATATTGTACGTTTTTAATCACATCTTTACTGAAGGCCTGTGCTTCAGCAAAAAGGTCATTAATAGACTGATGATGAATAACTCGCATAATTATTATAAAACCGCCTAATAATAATATTATGTATCTAAACTTCTCGCTGAATCTTTTGTGGGGTTAATTTCATTAATACCTACCATTAGCTGAAGGGTGCTTGATGTGAAACCGGACGACGATTGATGAAAGGCTACCGATCGGACATCCAATCCATACAGAGTGCTCTTGTGTCTGTCTCATTGATACCAAATCGACCAAACTCGCCGAACCATGGCACAATTTATATATATTTACATATTAAAGGGAAACTTAACTGACTTCTAAACACACAGCTACTGTACCCAAAAACTTAAAATTTTGAATAAGGTTTCCTTTCATGATGCAAGTAACTAAGAAAAGATTTTTAGATATTCAACCCTTAAAAGGGTGAAATAGGGTAGTGAAGTTAATAGGTATATATTTTCTATTTTGTGGACTTAAAATTATGAAAATAGGAATATAATAATATGTTCTCGATTGCAATTAGTACACGCGGAAGAAAGTCACCAGCAAAAGTTAGCAACTCCATAAATATTTCCGATGTCTCGTAAATTATTCCTTCTTACCTTGTGTTCGCCCTAATAGACAGACAGATACACACACAGAAATATATAGAAATATATTTCTGTATCCTGATACATATATACCTACGTGTATGTCTAAAAGGCGAAACTTAACAATTGTCATTAGTTGATAACATTACACTTGTTATTAGTTTCACTAAAACTAGGATGAACTGATAATATGGTGGTTTTCAAATATTTATATTATAATATTTGAGATGTCCCAGGAACGTTTAACGTTTTTAGATAATATGGCCAAACAACTATTTTATAATTCCATAGAAACTGTTCGTAACAGTTCGGTTTCTGACGCACCGAGAAACCAATTATAGAATAAAAAATCTTATTTAACATTCTGCCGCAGAATAATAAAATTTGCGATGAATCGTGAGTAAGTAACTGAATATTACAATTTTATATTTCCCATTAAAATGGTGGGCACAGTATAGTACTAAAAGTGGTAACTAACTGGTATGAGAGGGAAGAATTGTCTTCCTTTAGGCTGTAGTGGTGTTGATAATTGAAGTTTAGATCTAGATCTAATTACATGGTTTGAAAGTTAAATATGTTGGCGAAGAAACTTTGTAAGCGCGATGCAGACTTTTAGTCCAAAAATCGCCATAAAATCCCCGCTGTAACGCTAATATCTCTATTTCATAGAAGTATTCAATAGAATAAACGTTTACATATCAGTGGCTCCAATGTACCGTCGATAATGCCGAATAGAATATCTCTCGATTACACTTTACTAATTGAAATTTAATGCGTGCTTCTATACTTTGACTAAGTCTGTTAATCAGTATTTACAGCAATTAAGTATCTCGATTAAGTATATCAGCTACTCTATTAATCATTAGTTTAAGTGGAAAATGAGGTTGCAATGAGGTTGCAATTGAGGTCAAAAATTTTAATTTTAATTTAGATTCAATTGAAGAAGCATTAATATGTATATTTTTATCCAGCCCATAATTAAAATTCACGTTAATTTATATTTAATCAAATTTGCATTTACATTGGTACATTGATATTTATCTTCAAAGAATGCTTAAAACACCAGTCCCAGTGCCGGATACACGAGATGGGGATCGAACTCTTAACCTATCACAATCCGGGCAACTACTACTCTAATCAGTTGACAATCTGGAAGGACAGACGAATTTATCAAGCAATTACTTTCGCTGCTAGTGAATGTATTTTTATCAATATTTTCTTTTATCATAAATGTTGTTTAATGTTTTATATATATCTAAGATATGTAGTCTTATTTATTATTGTGTTGAAATAAATTAATCATGACAATATGTATTAAAGGATTATGCAGAAAACTGATTTCGATAATAAAGTTTTAACTAAAATATTATCTAATATTTACCCGCTCGCCTTGAGGTGATTGTAAAAGTTCTTGATTATGTATATAATTTTTCTATTGATTCAAAATAAATAATTTAAGAAGGACATTGGTTATTATATTTGATCAATTTTCAATTCACAATGCTATACTAAAATTATTCTCATTGAAAATAAGTAGCGAAAAGTAACAAGTGCTTAAAAAATTCGTCACTCTTGTTAGGTCCTGGGTAGTTCAGTGGTTAGAGCGGATTGCTAAGATCTAAGAGAGTCAGAGACAAAGTGGATTTCTAAGCACTTTTCATTAAGAAAGAACATGAGTCTTATGATTTAGTATAGGACGGCGACCTACGAATAATATTGACAAAACATAAAAACAAATCTTAGCACTTCATTAACTTTCAATTCAGCGTTTATAGTTTTTTGATAGCCAATAAATCTACATTACAACCTGTCAAATGCGATGTTGTAGGTATGGCAAATCGAGAAATATTACACACAAATTAAGAAAGAAATTGCTAATGCAATCAAGACACAGTTTGAGCCATGTTGATAATTACACAGAACTAAAGTTTGCTTAATAAAAACATTATGTTGTCATGATTTTTTAAAGAGTACCTATACAAAGAGAATCGGCAAGTTCCGTTTGAACTTTTTGTAGATAATTATGTTTTAACAAAATTTTCATAGCAACCCAAGAATTTAACGGGCATAAAATATTTTAATTAAAAACTAGGCCCGAACAGCGGCCTTTCTTAATTTTTTTTTCGGGGACTAATCAAATTATCCTTGAGTGGGACTCGAGACATTAAATAATTATGTTATTAAAACTTCTTTGTTTGAAAAGTGCACCAGTAGAGATGCGAGGGAAAAGAAAACGCAAAGTAGTAATAAATTTTATGCATACTTACATCATCAATACAGAGTGAAAATATATATTATACTAGTAAAAATGATTATTCTTCAAGCGAAGAATACGTTTGTTAAAAAAAATAAAATAAAAGTTTTACATA